GCGGGCCGGATGTGGCCCGGAGGCCTGTGGATGCCGATCTATGACTTATAATATCAGTTTAGTAAAAAGAAATGTATGAGAGAAAGATGGGAGATTTTAGAATTTATATAAGTTCATTTAAATCAACTACACGTGCCAATGTAAAATATAACAGTCATTCTAACAAAATAATTAAACATAAAAGACATTTGATTTACAAATCGAATATGATATTATTGTAAAATGTTGATAATTCTTTTACTAATTTGGTTTTAAAACAATGCATAAAAATTGAAATTATAATAAAATAGCGTTGATTTACTGATCAGATATAAGCGATTTTTTTTCGGAATTACGTTTGTGTATTAGTGTCGATTTCTCTGTGCCGCGATTTTAAATTATTACATTAAAATCAGTAGAACGCTCTCAAGATCTAATACCAAAAACCTCATGCCTACAGGCGCAAACACTCTTATCTGAAATTCTAAAAAGAGAAAAGCTTCAAAAGCTTGTTTTATAATAGAAAAAGATGCAATTAATCGTTATCTCATTACTTTTCCGACTATAGAGTTAAGCTGTAATATTTGTTATCGTTTTAATTCTGTATATTCACTATGAATGCTTTCAGTGTTCACTGCAGAGAAACTGCCTTTCCCTAACAAGCGGATAAATCGTTTATTCTTATAAACACAATTTGTTATACCATAAACCTGAATAATTCCGAAGACTAAATGTGGTCTGCTTCTATGGTTTTCAGATCGCATATTTTATATACCTACAATTACAGTTGTTTCTTTTTTCATTTCAAAGTCAACATACAAAATTTAATAGGAGTAGATAGATCCACCTATCTCCCTGCAAGTATTCCTCCCATGTTTATTGAACAGGAATAGAAGTTTATCCCTTGTTTCCTGTTCAGGCTATGCTTTACTAATTCTTTCTTCCATGACCATAACTATCTTTTGGTGATCTGACTACACAGTGGCTGATACTTTTCCTCGTGAGAGTACTGGGTTGGCAGTTGCTATAACTGACTGGTTGTAAAGTGAATGAACTCTTTGGTAGCGAAAGAGAGGTTTTCTGATCAAGAGTCACGTTAAGTCGGTGTATTTGTAGTGCCATGCTGCGCATAGTTAACTGTCCCTGTATGTATTTCTGGTGGGAAACAGAGGCCATATTATGCTTTTGTCTTAGCCACTTCTGGCCAGTTTATATTGTCATAGACGACAGACAGTGATAATTATTTTGGCCTTTATCTTCTTATAACTTTTCCTGGGTCTTGTTCCTTATTGCCATTTCTGTCTTCTCGTTCTCTTTCATTTCCTGTTACTACCTGAGTTCATGTGACATTATGGAGAAACATTTGAAAATAAAATAAAAAGCAGGAGTAATTATACAACCGAATCTTTTTGCAAGTAATATAAGATTCACTTTCGTTTAATGACGCTCTCAATCGAATCCTTCAGAAGATCAAACCCAGTTTTAACCGAGTAAAAGACATTTCTTCAGAATTTTCTTTCACCTTTTGAATCCTTGAAAACGTTGCCTATCGCCCACTTCAAAGACTAATAGTCTTTGAAGCAGGTGAAAAGAGAAAGTGAATATGACTCTGCAAAACGCTGTTCAGATCGAATTACTGGCTAGATACCAAAATGCTTCTTTTCGGGCTCAAAAAAGAATATATACCCGATTGCAAATAATGTTAGTTTCCATAAATAATTGTAACCAAGGCAGACCTTGACAGACGAAATATCCGACAGCCCGATGTAACCAGGTTTGCACTTAATATGACATGTACACATCAACGAGACATCTCCGCCACACTTCGAATGTTTAAATTTCAACATTTCAACATACAAATGCGTATGTATAGATATAACACCACCCGTATACATATATGTGTCATAGCCGAAACTGCCCACATATTTTTATATATGTATGAGTCCCGACGGACGACCAAGTATGTATATGTGTCTGCATACATCGATGTTTGCGTTAGTACGATGAATGACAAAACGACGAAATTTCCCCCACCACTTCCACAATAACACAAATACACGCAAACTACATAAACCCAAATTTTTTTAAAACATTAATCAGTTTGTCTGACGATCGCTAAAGCGTGAAACCCAGGGTCACAAACTCACATCTATCCAACCAAATATGTTAGCTCTATCTCTGATATTGAGCGCTTTCTAATAAGTACCGCGCATATAATATAGAAATAATTATACATACTTATATTTATTTATATTTATATACACTACACATATATATATATATATATATATATATATATATATATATATATATATATATATATATATATATGTGTGTGTGTGTGTGTATGTGTGTGTATGTATATATATGTATGTGTGTGTGTGTGTGTGTGCGTGAGAGATAAAATATAGTTTTAATGTATGGTATATTTATGGCTTAAAGTGCTAAATATCAGGAATTGATCGTATGCAAATATAAAAGTGGACACTGAGGCGACAGTCTATGCCATGCTCCTCATATGCAATCGTCAGACTATGCTAAGAAACAGACTATCGACTCTAGGTGTTGAATTCAAAATAATACAAATTTGTGACTGGTAGGTATAATTCCAAGGAGGATATTAAACCCAATAGAGCTCAATGTAAAATACAGAGCATAATAACAATAATAATGTTAAATCAAGAAAGCTCTTAATAAATTGAGACAATTATTTACATTCATTAAGAACTTTCGGTCTGAAAAGATGAATATAACAATATTCAGGAAATAAATTATAACCGTAATGGATCTTCAAGTTTGATTTGTATATATATATATATATATATATATATATATATATATAGGCAAAAGTCCTTGGCTAAGTAATCCAAGTAGATCCTAATAATATAAAATATTAAACTATTCCACAAAAGAAGAGCTCAATACATTTATTATAGAGCATGTAAATGAATTACATAAAAATGAAACTCAGTTGTGCCCCATTTTGATAGCCATTTCGCCTTCGGTTTAATCTCCCTGGGGCTTGTCAATGCTAAAACGTTTGTTAAAAAAATGAATTTCATGGTGTTTTTTTTGTTTTGTTTGTTTGTTTTTTTTTAATTGAAAAATAAAAATTAAAAATGGAAGGAAAGAAAGAATAAAAAACGGAAAAGAAGAGGAACAAACAACAAATAAGGGAAATGCCATTTAATAGAGATTCAGAGAGATAGGAAAACAGACACAAAGGTTGTGAGAGAAAAAGGTACTGAGAGGGGGGAGAACAAAAGTCATAACATATACAAGTCTAGACAGAAGTAAAAAAAATGGTTAGAGATTAACAATGAACTATATTAAAAATAATTACATAAGAAAAGGGAATCATTAAATTTAAGAAAAAGAAGAGTATTTAAGTTTGTAGATAAAAAACTTAGAATTTAATATTAATAACATTATATAATTTTAATATTATATATATATATTTTTATTATTAATAATGTATATATTAATAACTCATATTAAATATTATATATCTATATTAACTTATTATTAAGACAAAATTATTATTAAGAAAAATATTTGCTCATTAAATTATTGATATTAATTTATTTACTTATTACTACTATTTAATTATTGAGTCAAATGTTATATATTCTTATTAATTTATTATTAAGTATATTTATTTATTATTATATCAATATTAATCTATTTACATATTATATACTTAATTATTTAGTAAAAAAAAACTTTCGTTATTAAATTATTAATTTATATTAATAATAATTTATATTAATTATTATAATAAATATCAATATATTATATATTTATATTATATTAAAATATTTAAATTTATATTTATATTTTTTATTTGTATCATATCTATATTAATAATTTTAATATTATATTAAAGATTATTATTTAACTCCAATAATATAAAAAGGAATTTAATATTATAATAAAAAATTTTTTAGGCATTTTTAATAAATAAACAAGAAAAACCTGAATATTAAAATTAATAATAAGATAAAGGTCTCTTGGAAACAGAGAATGAGAAATACTATTTTGTTTTGTTAAATGGAAACGTCGGATTTCTTCATTCAGCCATTTTTTTTTTCATTTCCGAAAGGAACCGTCTTAGATCATGGCTCCAAATATAGTTGAAGCAGTTTAAAAAGAAAAACGGATTTTGTTTCTTCGACACGATTGTCTGACTGATAACAAAATTTAAAAAAAAAAATGTTCTGAATCAGTTTTCAGCCGTCAATTGATTTCTTCAGAAAAGAAAACAAAGTTGTTGAAAAACCGCTTTTCTCAACATTAGTTATTATTTCTATAAACGTTATCAGGGGATAAAAAAATATCTCAAGCAAGAAATACTGATGATAATAATAATTCAGATTCAAGAAGACCTACTGATTATAGCGAGGATTCAATGACTCTGTGTATTTAAAGACTTTCCAGTATTTTCCTAATCATTCTCACAGATTTCAACAATACCGTGATTTTCGTCATTTCAACTTTCTCACTGAATTTTTTCTTACTATTCATCTACTTACTATTTACTTACTATTTGCATCTCCGTACTAAGGAAGAAAAAGAATGAGTTTGTGCGGAGAAGGGTTGAAAGTTTTGTGGGACACCAGAAGCCTCTCATCTCTCAAACGGAGAAAAAATAGCGTGGTTTGGACATATTACAAGGCTGGCCAGCCTGTGCAAGACCATCATGCAAGGCACCGTTGAAGGTGGACGTAGCAGATGACGCCAACGCAAAAACGGGTTGGACAATGTCAAACAATGTACAGGTATAACTCTACCTGAATTGCTGATGGCTGCCTTTGATAGACCGTTGTGAAAAAGAGTTAGTATGGCTTCTGCATTCGGATCCGCCCGAGGATTACAAAATTCAAGATGATGATGATGATGATTATGATGATGATGATTATGATGATGATGATTATGATGATAATGATGATGACCAAGGAAATGGCGAATCTTCAGTATGAATCATTGACAACTGTTTTTGACACCTTCGATCGTACTCCGGCTTACGGCCATATCACGTCGGAACGCCGGTTCTTGTACGATCACCGAATTTAAGCAACGATGATCCTGGTCAGTACCTAGATGGCGTTCCGCTTGGGAATACTTGATGTTGTAAGCTTGGATGTATATATGGTGTAATGGATAACGGATTCGGATTTGGAAATCGGACAGCCGAGTTCCATTTCCAGATGGTTTCGTTGTATTCACTTACGCGCACATACCTTGAGGGAAAGTAAGAATCAACGTCTTCTTTCCCCACATATGGGTTAAATAGTAAGGCTTGGGTCAGCAAAACTCTTCATCTTCAAAATTCCATGTTAACTGGCATTAACTAACCCACAAAAGGTTAATAAACCGTAAAAAAACAAATCAATCGTACTCAGTATATTCTCTTTAAAATTCAGCTAAGTCGAATATAATTTCTTCTTTTTTTATGCCATGTCTTTTCAAGAAGTGGCATTTAAAAGGTTCTTAGTCATTGTTCTGCTATCCATTCATTAAAACTCCTTAAATATATTAAACGATGTTTTCCCTGCGTATCTGCTAGTCTTTATGTCACGTGGGAATTAAATGTGGCAGAAAATCGTCTCCCGTTTAATACTGCCAATATTTCAGCTGTCTTTTTTTTTTTTAAAGTTAGCCTCAGTTTCCTTGTCGCTTTCATTTTTCTTAAAATACTTCGCTTTTCTCATGTACAATCCATGTTATTCTTAACTTTCGTCAGCGCCAACCCTTTTTGCGTCAAGTCTCTTCTTTATATAATAAGATATATCCCAGCATTCAAAGATATATTACAGATTAACTATTGCATCGTAGGTTAGTAGTCCTTGTTCCTAACGATATTTGTTTATCTCTTAATGAATTGCTGATTTTCTGAAAGGCATATTTTTCTAATCCTTATACGTCTTAGAGCATCTGTTACTCTACTAACTAAATAAATGAATTTCTCTCCCTGCTTGATTTTGACGTTCCCAATATGTTTCTTACACTTTTGTCTCTTTTGCTGATAACCTGTTTTATTACAGTTAATAGTCCTTTTGTTTTCCTTTCCTTTAATACTTTATCAAAAAGATTGTTCAGTTTTCTTTCTTTTGCCTTGTTAACATTATGCACGCCAATATTAAATCTTGGTATGATTTCTAGATAAGCTAAATGACCTTTATAGACACGATGAAGCGAACCAGAAGAAATTAAGTAGTAAATCAATTGCATAAGGATCAATGAATTTTACACTATAAAACACACACCAGGATCAAATATTGGATCAAACACCTGTCAGTGATATATTGTCTTTAAAATGAAACTACACAAATTCTAATACGATTGACAGCCAAATAAACCAAATTGTAAAGAGATGTGAACTGACAGAGTTAAAAGTAGATAGAATAAACTAAATGAGAACGGAATATCAAAGTGAGACACGTTAAGAGAAGCTTTAGTAAAATCAGCAAACGAGAATTATCCAAAAGGAAACTAGACAAAAAGAAATGGATGAAAGATGAAATAATAAAAAGTAGACAGCAAACAATGCAAGAAAGAGAACAGAATAAGAGACAGTATATAAATGGATTCGAAACAAATATAATCAGATAAAATTAGAATGGCTCAGTTGAGATGTGCAGAAATGAAGAAGGACTGGGTAGATGAGCTTAAAAAAAATAAGCGAAATAACAAGACAAAAGATGGGCTTATCGTCAACATTCATAAAATCTAAAAGAAGGAACGCTGAGCATAGAGAAAGTAAAATACTGGAATGGAACGAATACATCGGAGAACACTTCCACGACGAAAGAGAACCTGAAATACACAGAAATATAGACGAAAAATTAGAACCCAGTATTAAGATCACCACTAGACAAACTGAAAATGATCAAGGTAGAAGGGCCAGATGAAATTTCTCTCGTTGGAACAACTATAACCTTTTCCCTATCTATCTATCTATCTCTCTCTCTCTCTCTCTCTCTCTCTCTCTCTCTATATATATATATATATATATATATATATATATAAGCAAATATATGGATATAGATCCGACAGTATGAAGAAAAATATACTGAAAAAACAAACAAAAATCCTAATATGCAATTATGCTGTTTTAATGTTTAATGTCGGACGTTTCGGTCTAATAGACCATCTTCAGGACATATTCATAAAACATAATTAACATAGACCATGTTGAATTGTATATGGTCTATGTTAATTATGTTTTATGTATATGTCCTGAAGATGGTCTATTAGACCGAAACGTCCGACGTTGACATTAAACATTAAATTAGCATAATCGCATATTAGGATTTTTGTTTTTTTTTTCAGTATATTTTTCTTCATATATATATATATATATATATATATATATATATATATATATATACGTATATATGTATATACATATGTATATATGTATATATGTATATATATATATATATATATATATATATATATATATATATATATATATATATATATATATATAGATAGATAGATAGATAGATAGATAGATAGATAGATAGATAGATAATGAAGAAGCATAGATAGAACGTTTGTGCAACACATAACGAAGAAATAATTTAACACTCATATATCGAAAGCAAGTGATGTAGGGAGAAACTGCGATGAAGCTTCTTAACTCATTTAAGTGAATGGAAGCTAAAGAAAGGAAATAATAAAGGATAATAAACTGCTTAGAACAACAAAAGTTCCAAAGCTGTAGAGAACCACCTTTGATAATATAAATGGGCACAAACATTAGAATTTCAATATAAATAAAACAGACATTTCGGATCAATATCTTCTCATGATCAATAAAACGACTTCGGTTAGTATCCCATGTTTAACCTGGGACTACAGACTCAATAAGTTAAGTGCCCGGGTATGGTTCCCTTAGCAAATAATTTGACAGCCGCATGCTTATTAAAAGCTTTCCTTCCCTTCTTCTTCGCCAATTCCAACGAGAGAGTCTAATCCTCCCTGTTATTTAGCCCATAGTGTGGAAAAGAGATGGGTTCATTCTTTTGACACGTTTATTTTTGCGAAAGTGAATACAACAATTTCATCCCGGATTTGAACTAAGTACGCCGATTCCACTTTACACGTCAATAACTGAGCCCATCACTAAAAAATATATGTCATTATTTTAAGAAAAGGATAATCATATTTACGTCAATTTTCTGATCATTACAATAATTATAATGGCATAATTATAACTGACGGTTGTGAGTTTATATCTCCCCCTCCCCTTGATGCACATATGTAATTCCACCAACAAACACATTACGTTTGTCCGATGAAGTCATTTTTCCACTTTGTCATTTTGATAAAGCAGATAATGAAATGCAATCCTTGATAACGACTTTCGTGATAGTCGAAAGTACTCAAATGTGGTAAAAAATGAAGTATGCGGAAATTTACCATTTTTAATACTGGCATAAAACAACTTAGTTGGGATTTGGAAAAACTAAAGAAAAAAGGAAAAAAAATGGACAAGCAGCTCTGTATTCGTCACTAAAGATTTGTTGAACGAATTCATGCTCTCTAAATTTTCGTCTAAATAACGCAACAATGAACACACTGACATGTCATTTTAACAGATATACTTACTAAAATGACACAAAATTATCTTGAAATGTCAAAGAATAAATGTATTCAATAAAATTACCATAGGTTTCAACCACGACTTCGGAATCTCCAGCATCTCTTTTGGACGGTCTTTTTGATTAAGTTAGTGAATGTTGTCGTAATCCTTGCCCTCAGTTCATCTTTGTGGTTACATGGAGGTTTGTTAGTATTTCGCTCAACTGTGCCGCCCACATAATAATCAAAGGGGTTGCTGTCTAGAGATTTAGCTGGTCTGATGTAAGAGGTGCTGTGGTTGTCTGACAATCATGTCTGGGTTCTCCTTCTTGTGTGACATAGTACAGAGTCATGTTGTCAGACGTAGGGCCTTCTAGCAGACACCCGCTTGTCCCAGGGCATCACTGCCTCCTCAAGGCACTTGATGTAGGCCTCCGTGTTGAGTCTGAGGCACTCGCCAAGAATTTCGGCCGCTCTTTTCTTATCAGAACCTTCAGAGTGAGTTTTTGAGCAGCTGTCCCTTCGTAATTACCATAAGGCTCATCCAACTCTTTCCGAATCCTCCGCCTTATCCTCAGATTGACAGCCAGACATTACGAAATGTTTGTACTGGAGCTACCGGTGCGAATACTATGCAATATAGCATGCTCATTCTAAATCTTTGGCGAAGTGAATTCCGTTAAAATGCTCTTTCTTTCATAGACGTTGTCCAGTCAACAAAATCAAAAACACACAACGCGCATGCGTGAAATTATAAATATAACATGGCTTCAATTTACCCATCGTGCCCTGTTTATAGCGTGTCCAAAAAACATTGACATCATCATGTGATGACGGATCAGTCGAACCAGCAATAATGACAATGTGCTGTTGAAATAGCTACTACGTTCACCAAACGTGAGGTCATGTTTTATTTTTCTATGGTGCTATGTACCTCTTCCTACAAGCCTTGAGGACTTAAGTAAACAATCACTGATGCGGTGGAGACATACTGACTTGACGTTTGGCGTGTCACAGGTGGTACGCATATTGTGAAATCTGTTATAAGATCTACATCCGAATTTTGATAAATAGATCACATATTCTTCAACATGAAGCCTATTTAATTTCTTTTGCCTGGGTAAGATGTAGTTACTCGAATTTTCACATTTTAAATGATTTCAATTTTGGAGTACATTACAAACACACAACACACACACACACACACACACACACATATATATATATATGTGTGTGTGTGTGTGTTTGTGTGTGTGTGTGTGTGTGTGTGTGTGTGTGTGTGTGTGTGTGTGTGTGTGTGTGTGTGTTTCTTATATGTCGAACGTACTTGCAAAATATGAAGATAAAAAGATTAATTTTAGACGGCAAATCACTCCGCTGTGGTGAACTCAATGAATAGGTTTATCCACTTACCTTTCGATCGCAAAATTTCGGACTGCACCAGCTGTATATTGACAAAAACTTATAAGTCAAACGAAAGAGATGAGATTAACCTCACCTTTTTTACCCTCGGGTGTTGACGATCTGCTTACAAATTCACTTTGAC